ATTTCATGCTGATGTGATACAGGTTGGGGAAAGACTCTCATTATTGCATTTAATGGTACAGGTTGGGAAGTTCATTCAAAAGTCAACTCTAATTTAAGGCTCATGGTTTAAGCCTTTGTGTATCACCCTGAGGGTGGGGAACCTGCTGGAAGCTGCTGCAGGGAGGTTCAGCTGTATGATGCTGACTCCTCCCAGGGCTGCATTGTGCTTTGGGAGGCCTGCATCTCCACCACCCTCAACAAGGGACCAAGGTTACTCCTTGGTTTGAAGGACCAGTTTTACCTGCAAACCCGCTCATTCTGGGTCTGGTTCATGGTTTTGCAGGGATATGAGGAAGAAATTGTTTGGTGTGAGGGTGGTGAGCCAGTGTCCCAGGTTGGCCAGAGAAGCTGTGGCTGCTCCTCCCTGGAAGTGTTGAAGGCCAGGTTGGATGAGGCTTTGAGCAACCTGGTCTAGTGGAAGGTGTCCCTGCAGATGGCAGGGGGGTTGGGACTGGATGAGCCTGAAGGTCCCTTCCAACCCAAACCAGTCTGGGATTCTATGACTGTGGCTGAGGAGCTGGGTGACCATTCAGGGGACCCTGTGCTTTCCTTTGCAAGCCCTGCCATGAGGTTTGATCTCAGTATCACACCAGTGCAGTCAGGTGCTACCAGACTTGAGACTCGTGGTTGGTGTGTACAGAGAAAACCAGATGAGTGGACCCCACAGCCGTAGCTGGCTTTGCTCCTCTGTGATGTGTCTGTCCCTGCTCCCACTTGGGTTTTGGGGCTCAGCAGGGTTCTGTCTGCCAGTAAGGATGAGTCCTCAGCTTTGATGGTGTTCTTTGAACAGGAGTTGGAAAGGAGACTGTTGTCGCTGGGACAGCGTGTGGCTCGTCATTGAGCAGCGGTGTCTGCAGGGCTAGTGGAGGGCAGATTTCCCTGGGTGATAGGTAGGAGTGACCCGATCCGGCTGCTGGGCTCTGCTGGGTGTCTGGTCTGACGGAGAGCTCTGATCTCTGCTCTAGGCCTGGAAGCGCTGGTGCACTCAGATCCTGTCTGCTCTCAGGTAAGTTTTCCATCGCTCGCGCTGTTTGCGACCTGCTTCCGACCAGGCTGGGCGCAGGTCGTGTGCTCAGAGCAGCTCTGTGCCTCCCCAGCTTCCTGCACTCCTGTGAGCCTCCCATCATCCATGGCAACCTCACCAGTGACACCATCTTCATCCAGCACAACGGGCTTATAAAGATTGGGTCAGGTAGGAAGCTGCTGCCCTTGCAGACTCCAAGTGCTGATGAGAAGAATCAGCAGGAGGAAGTTGCCCACCAAGGGACGGGGAGGGTTTGTGGGGTGGTGTGCTGAGGGGTTCCAGCTGGGCAGAGGAGGCAAGAGCTGCAGGGTCCCCGAGGGGATCACCTGTGCAAGACTTGGAGTTACCTTCTCTTCTGTTTGTGTCCTCTGCTCCATGCTTTCTCACTCCTCTGCTTCCGGATCGGCGCTGACCCGCAGTCTGGCACAGGGTGTTTGCAAATGGTGAGTGTCCCTCTGCCACCTCTCCCACCACATCACTCCCATCCCTGGGTCAACCCCTGGGAACTTGAGATTGGATCTGAAGAATTTCTTTGCTGAAAGGGTTCTGAGGCATTGGAAGGGGTTGCCCAGGGCAGTGGTGGAGTCCCCATCCCTGGAGGGATTGAAGAGTCGTGTAGACACAGTGCTGAGGGACATGGGTTAGTCATAGGGGACTGGTCAGTGTTGGGTTCATGGTCAGTTGGGTTGGACTGGATCAGCTTAAAGTGCTTTTCCAATCCAGGCAATTCTGGGATTCTGTGACCTTCCTCAGCCATGAGGCTCTGCAGCTCGGCAGAGAGTCCTGGGCTCTGCAGGCGGGGGTGACCTTTGTCCCCCAGGGAATTGCTGCTCCTGTCATGGGAGCAGAGGGGTGTCCTGGGGAAGCGAGTGCCCAGCGGGTGGTCAGTGTGGGCAGGAGCACACACAGAAATCCCCACTACCTCCGAGCACCCGTCTGTGCTCACAGCCTCGGGGAAATGCCTCAGAAGAGTTGTGATGCAGAACATTTCTCATTCCCCAACGCAGCTCTGCCAGACGACCTGCGCAGCCCCATCAGGATTGAGAGGGAAGAGCTACGCAACCTGCATTTCTTTCCCCCGGAGTACGGCCGTGAGTGCGGGGTCTGTCTGTGGGGACAGCGTGGGGACCCAGAGGGACGTGGGGAACCGAAAGGTCCTGCGTGAGGCGTGGGCACGGCGTGTTGGCAGCGATGCAGTTATTCCCCCATCACAAGAGAGACCTGGAGCAGCTAGAACAAGTCCAGAGGAGGCCACCAGGATGATACGAGGGCTGGAGCAGCTCTGCTGTGAGGACAGGCTGAGAGAGTTGGGGCTGTTCAGCCTGGAGAAGAGAAGGCTCCGGGGAGACCTTCTAGAGACCTTCCAGTACCTGAAGGGGCTACAAGAAACCTGGGGAAGGACTTTTCATAAGGGCAGTTAATGACAAAACAAGGGGAAATGGGTTTAAGCTGAAAGAGGGGAGGTTTAGATGAGATATTAGGAAGAAGTTCTTCACTGTGAGGGTGGTGAGACACTGGAACACGTTGCCCAGAGAAGCTGTGGCTGCTCCTCCCTGGAAGTGTTGAAGGCCAGGCTGGATGAGGCTTTGAGCAACCTGGTCTAGTGGAAGGTGTCCCTGCTGCTCGCAGGGGGGCTGGAACTGGATGAGCTTGAAGGTCCCTTCCAACCCAAACCATTCTATGATTCTGTGATTCATAACTAAAGCTGTGGGCCAGGAGCCACAGCAGATCTCATGATCGTGACTGACTGGGTGACAATGTTGTAGGTAGAATTTAGTGTTGCTTAGTGCAGAGTTTTGCATGTGGGAAACCTGCCTGCCTACCTGGGGAGGGACCATGCATTAGCAGTTACTGGTCAGGAACAAGATCTCAGCAGGACCACAGAGAGCTCTGAAAAGGTCGATTTACGGCTCAGGAACACTCAAAAGCCTGTAAAATGGTACAAGGACTCGGGGAAAAAGGAGTAAAGAATCTTTGTGCCACATGAAAACTCATGATGGGATCCCCATCTGGACTGTTTTGGGGAAAATTGGAGGGGGGTAGATGGGAAAGGTTTGTGCAGGGAACTGTGAGCAAATGTGTGCTGGGGTGGGGAAGGGAGCACGAGCAGAGGCGTGGGCAGGGATGGGATGTGGGCAGGGATGGGATGTGCGGGCAGAGGCGTCTGTCGGGATGAGGCAGCGTGTGGGGGCTGTTCCCAGAGGGAGCAGGTGGTGGCCTGTACCTCTGGCTTGATGTGGTTCTGACTTGGGTTTTGCAGAAAAGGCTGACGGGACTGCTGTGGACATCTTCTCCTTCGGGATGTGTGCACTGGAGGTATGGAGCAGGATGGCTGCAGCACCTGGGAACCTGCAGTGGCCCCTGGCTACAGGGCAGGATTGTTCTGCTGAGGCTGCTGGGGATCGTGGTGGCCTGGGGAGCTTCCCGAGGGGTCTCCTTGCCCTTTTCCAAACGTCACTGTGAGCTGGGGATCCCTTGCAGCGATGGAGACATCTCTGCTGGGGGGTCAGCAGGACATTTTCTGCTGCCATGACCCGCCCTGCCCTGGGTGCAGCAACAGGCTTAGCTCACCTCTTCTGTGCCCAGCTGATGCCTCTCTGCTGGTGCCTCCTCTTCCTCCTTGGGCTGGGAGAGCCCTGGGAAGGGAGGGCACCAAGGGAAGGGACAGGCTGTGCTGCTCCAGGAGTATGTGCACTGCCAAGCTCAGCTTGTCTGGGCAGACTACAGAGCTGTTGGTCTGTCTGCATTGACCCCTGGCCAGGCTGTGTGTCCTGGTGAGGAGCTGCCACCCTGCCAGGGGATGTCCCTTTGGGAAGCCCTCAAGGAGTGACCCAGGGCTTGGCTCTGTGCAGAGATGGCTGTGCTCCTTCTTCCCCAGATGGCAGTGCTGGAGATCCAGACTAACGGGGACACACGAGTCTCAGAGGAGGCAATCATGAGGGCACGACATTCTCTGGACGATCCCAACATGCGGGTGAGTGGAGGTCGCTGAGCTTTGGGGACTGAGCCACTGGGACATAGCCTGACCCACAGATCACAGAATCCCAGAATGACCTGGATTGGAAAAGCCCTTTAAACTCATCATGAACCCAACACTGACCAATCCCCTATGACTAACCCATGTCCCTCAGCACTGTGTCTACACGACTCTTCAATCCCTCCAGGGATGGGGACTCCACCACTGCCCTGGGCAACCCCTTCCAATGCCTCAGAACCCTTTCAGCAAAGAAATTCTTCCTCACATCCCATCTCAACTGCCCTGGCCACAACTGGAGCCCATTTCCTCTTGTCCTGTCCCTTGGGCCTTGGTTGAACAGACCCACCCCCACCTCTCTCCACCCTCCTCCAAGGGACTTGCACAGAGCCACAAGGTCTCCCCTCAGCCTCCTTTTCTCCAGCCTCAACACCCCCAGTTCCCTCAGCCACAAGGGAACTCAGCACACTTGTGCTCCAGACCCTTCCCCAGCTCCGTTCCCTTCTCTGGACACGCTCCAGCACCTCCATGTCCTTCTTGGACTCAGGGGCCCAACACTGAACCCAGCACTCCAGCTGCGGCCTCACCAGTGCCCAGGGCAGGGAGAGGAGAACTTCCCTGCTCCTACTGGCCACACTGGTGCTGATCCAGGCCAGGATGCCCTTGGCCTTCTTGGCCACCTGTGCATTCTGCTGACTCTTAATGAGTCAGATGTCCCTCCTGTGGTGTAAATCTGCCCATGAGCGTCCTTCCTTTGGCTGATAATCTGTAACATCAGAGCCAGCCTGTCATTCCTGCGTGCCCCAGTTTACACCAGTGCTGGGAAAGGGGAACAGAAACAATGACTTAATGGAAACCTAAGGGCAGCCAGATATGGTGGGCTGAAGGACATGGGGATTCCTCCCTTCTCCTGGGCTGGTCAAGATTAGAAGCTGGTCCTCAACCCTGTTTCCCAGTCCTACCAGTAGTAAGGCTGAGTGTGAATTCCCAGTAGGTGCCCGTGCAGACATGTGCACACACACACTCTGTACAGATGTGGCCGGGCACAGACAGCACGAATGGCCGGGTCCTGCTTCTAAGCACTGCTGAGGACAGTCCCTTTCACAGGTCACTGTGGCATCTGGCCCTGTCCCATGTGTCTCCCTGGTGTCAATCAGACCCAGGGTCTGTCTGGTGCCTACTCCTCCTCCCCAAGGTTTCCTCTCACTTGCCAGTTACTCCAGTTTGACGTTTGCTGGAGACCACACGCACTCACAGGGCACAGAGAGCAAACTCACACGGGAAATACTTAGGAACAGAGATTATGAAGAAGACACGATAGACCTGAGCAGATGCAGGACTTGGCCAGATAAGTGCACTGACCAGCACAGTGCTCACAGATCCCTTTGAGCCCCCTCCATTTTCCTCCCTGACCCACCTTAACCCCTCCATTACTCTTCTGTTGGCCAGTCTCCAAAACATCCCATAATAAGTTTGTACACTCCCCACATTCTCTTGTTTGATCTTAGAATCCCCCAAGCGCCCCACAGTAAATCGTATCTCCTTTGATGCAATCCTCCCCCTGTTCACGTTGTGTCCCAGAGAGTTTCTCCTGTTGAGCCTTCAGCACCAGGGCCAAACGGCATCGCTGTTCCCCTGATGGTCCTGGGTCCTTGATTCGGGGGGTGAGGCTGTGAGTGCCCACCCTGTCATCTTCCTTCTGATTGTTTTTGGGTCTTTGCATCTATTCTAAGTAGCCATAGCCAGATACCTGTACAGAAACTCGGGGCAACCCCCAGCACCAATCCAGGCTGGGTGGAGAATGGCTGGAGAGCAGCCCTGAGGAGAAGGACTTGGGGTGCTGGGGGGTGAGAAGCTCAACATGAGCCGGCAACGTGCGCTGGCAGCCCAGGGGCCAATAACCGTGTCCTGGGCTGCACCCAGAGCAGCGTGGGCAGCAGGTGGAGGGAGGGGATTCTGCCCCTCTGCTCCGCTCTCCTGAGACCCCAGCTGCAGTGCTGCCTCCAGTGCTGGGGCCACCAACAGCAGAAGGACATGGAGCTACTGGAGCCAGTGCAGAGGCGGCCACCAG